CCGTCAGAAGCTGAAGTAGTTATGATATGGAGCTTCCGATCACGTGACCGCTGTGACAGCCAATAACAGTGGTCACATGAATGGAAACCCCCCCCCCCCCCTCTGCCTCCAAGCGCTAAGACCCTCTTAAAGTGCCACCAGGCCGTAGCAGCAAGGTGTAAATAACCACTAAGTTTTTATTTTTTTTGCTATAAAAAAGAAAAAGGTTATAAAGAATGAAATACAAATTTCAGGACATTATGAACACCCCCAAGATTGCCACTTTTTGGATTACATAAAGTAATCTGATTTATTTGTCACAAATATTTTGGAAATTAAGAAACATGCCAGTATTGAGATTAAAACATGGAACTTGGCAATTGTATACAGTGAAAAAAATAAGTATTTGCTCCCCGGCTGATTTTGAATGTTTGCCCACTCACAAAGAAATGATCAGTCTAAAAATCGAATGTTCGGTGTATTGTAACACTGAGAGACAGAATAGCAACAACAAATTCAGTAGAAATGCATGTCTAACAAATGATGACTGATTTGCATGTTCATGAGGGAAATAAGTATTTGATCCCCTTCACAAAACATGACTTAGTACTTGGTGGCAAATCCCTTGTTGGCAAGCACAGAGGTCAGACGTCTCCTGTAGTTGGCCACCAGGTTCGCACACATCTCAGGAGGGATTTTGGCCCACTCCTCTTAGCAGATCCTATCCAAGTCATTAAAGATCGGTGGCTGACGTTTGGAAACTCAAACTTTCAGCTCCATCCACAGTATTTCAGTGGGATTAAGGTCTGGAGACTGGCTTGGCCACTCCAGGACCTTAATGTGCTTCTTCTTGAGCCACTCCTTTGTTGCCTTGGCCGTGTGTTTTGGGTCATTGTCATGCTGGAACACCCATCCACCACCCATTTTCAATGCCCTGGCTGAGGGAAGAAGGTTCTCACCCAAGATTTGATGGTACATTGCTCCGTCCATCGTCCCTTTGATGCGGTGCAGTTGTCCTGTCCCCTTAGCAGAAAAACACCCCAAAATCAGAATGTTTCCACCACCATGTTTGACAGTTGGGATGGTGTTCTTGGGGTCATAGGCAGCTTTCCTCCTCCTCTTTCAAACACGGCGAGTTGAGTTGATGCCAAAGAGCTCGATTTTGGTCTCATCTGACCACAACACTTTCAACCAGTCCTCCTCTGCATCATTCAGATGTTCAGTGGTAAACCTCAGACGGTCCTGGACATGTGCTTTCTTGGCAGAGGGACCTTGCGGGCACTGCAGGATTTCAATCCTTGTCAGCGTAGAGTGTTACCAATTGTTTTCTTGGTGACTGTGGTCCCAGCTGCCTGGAGATCATTGACAAGATCCTCACGTGTAGCTCTGGAGTGATTCCTCACTGTTCTCATGAGCATTGACACTCCACGAGGTGAGATCTTGCATGGTGCACCAGACCTAGGGAGACTGACAGTAGTTTTGTGTTTCTTCCATTTGCGAATCATTGCACCAAACTGTTGTCACCTTCTCACCAAGCTGCACTTTGATGGTTTGGTAGCCCAGTCCAGCTTTGTGTAGGTCTACAATCTTGTCCCTGACATCCTTGGACAGCTCTTTGGTCTTTGCCATGGTGGAGAGTTTGGAATCTGATGGTTTGATGGCTCCTGTGGACAGGTGTCTTTTATATAGATAACAAAATTAGATTAGCAGCACTCCCTTTAAGAGACTGTTTCTAATCTCAGCTTGTTACCTGTATGAAAGACACCTGGTAGCCAGAAATCCTGATGAATGATAGGGGAGCAAATACTTATTTCTCTCATGAACATGCAAATCAGTGCATAATTTATTAGACATGCATTTCTTTTGAATTTTTATTGCTATTCTGTCTCTCAGTGTTACAATACACCGAAGTCGATTTTTAGACCGATCATTTCTTTGTGAGTGGGCAAACATTCAACATCAGCAGGGGAGCAAATACTTATTTTCTTTACTGTATTAGATACATTAACCACTTCCCAACCGGCCGTTGCATATAAACAGCCAGACGGTGGCACTGCAGGGTCAGGTGGCCGTCTATAAACGGCCTCCCCGCACCCTGCTTTGCGCGCTCCCTGGGAGCGTGCAGCACCGCGATCCGGTGCCCGCTGTGTCCTCCGGACACAGTGAAACACCGATCGTCGGACGGGACCTTTGTACGAGGTCCCGATCATGTGATCACTGATTGCCAATCAGTGATCACATGCAAAGCAGTAAGCAAGATGTCACTTGTGACATCATTACTTATGTAGCAGGCTCCTTGTACAAGAGGATTCAGAAGGAATCACATGATCAGCAGTCAGTCCTTTCTCTCTCTCCCTATTTGTAAAACCTGGGCATTCTGCCAAGTTCATGACTCATCCACTACACAGCAAAGAACGCTGGGAGGTGGGAGGAAGCAGGAAGTGAAGGGGAGAACAGAGAGACACGAGGCTGGAGAAAAGACAGGGACATGTGGAGCCCGTCCAAGCAGAGGAGGAGGCACTACAGCACCCAGCGCGGATAGAGGGACCCTGCTGTGTGTTCAGAGTCTGGTGAGCTGTCCCCCTGGAGAGAGTAAGACACACCATTTACACTTTGCATATAGACTGGGACATTCGCACCCCACTGCTGGGATCTCACCCATCCGGGGCCCTGTGCAAGCCACAGATCCCCCTGCCTGCTTTGCCCCTCACCACCAGTGTAATTGAGACTGTCTGCCCCGGGGACTGACACATAATGGGAGATTGCATCCTGCGACTGCCCCTGGTCTTGGGGTGCTTTGTGTTGCGTTTAGACACTGAGGTTGGACCCTCTCAGCCCAGAAACCTAGTGAAATTGGATGTAACCCACACCAGCTGAAACTCCAAAGAAGCCTTCAGCTACTATTTACTTCATTGTAAGGACTAAACGTGCACCAACTAGAGCTCCACCGTTACAAGGACTGAAGTGGGGGAATCTGGCTTAGTAGCCTTATTAGAGGTACCTCTTTATTGCATTCTGTTCTGACTCTGAGGTGATTTTTGGCTAACGCCCCTCAGAAGCAGAATCATACACCGGTGTGGGTAATACATTTCATTGATAGAGTATAAGTAAGTTTATTTGTTTGATATCAGTTGTATTCTGCTTAAAGTGCGACTCTGCCATCCGGAGACTCTTGGCTGTGAAGCCCTCTAGTGGCAGACCAAATTTACTGCATTGCATAAAAGAAGAAAAGTAAGTTTTGAAGTTAAAAGGGGAACCCCACCCCTCTACACTGCATTTCATTCTCCATAAAATTGTTCTTGTTTCATTTAACCCTGTGTCAGCAAATTTCTTGGCGGGGTATTTGCTATTCATTTCCAGTTGTGCCAGAGGGATTGGGTTTGCTTAGGGTTGGATCTATTGAGCGCAGGACCCATAATATATTCCAGCTTGTCCCAAGGGGCAGTGCTACACTTACTACGTGTGATATCTGTGAATGATCACATAGGTCACATGGTACACGGCTATTCACAACAGCCTTGTACCATGTGACAAGCTGTGACCAATCACAGCTCACTCAGTACTTCTCAATGGCTGCAAGAATGCAGCCAGAGAGGAGAAATGATTGCTTTTACAGCCTTTATGGGTGTAAAAGCAATCAGTGTAAAAAAAAAAAAATCTTCATCACCCCCCCACAAGTAGTACAGTGTCACCATGGTGACACTGTACTGCTAGGGTGACAGTATGTAAAAAAAAAAAATTAAAAAAAATATAAAAAAATAAAATAAAAATGTAAAAAAAAAATGTTTAAAAATTATAATTTTTGGTTATAAACTAATTTGGATTTTTTTTTTTTACTAAAAAGATAACGGAATAAATTTTGGCCAAGATTTATGATGGAATATTATTTATTTTCAAAATTTTAAAAAAAAAACACTGTTTTAAAAAATTTTGGGACTTTTCCATTTACATAGCAAAAAAAATAAAAATCCCAGCAGTGAATAAATACCACCAAAATAAAGCTTTATCTGTCTCAAAAAAATGGTAAAAAAATTAATTTGGGCACAGTGTTGCATGACCGCGCAATTGTCATTTAAAGTGTGATAGCGCTGAAAGCTGAAAATTGCCCTGGTCAGGAAGGGGGTAAAAGTGTCCGGTTTGGAAGTGGTTAAACATCTAGGTCACAGGTGTCAAACTGGCAGCCCTCCAGCTGTTGCCAAACTACAAGTCCCATGAAGCATTGCAAGATTAACAGTTACACGCATGACTCCCAAAGGCAGAGGCATGATGGGACTTGTAGTTTTGCAACAGCTGGAGGGCCGCCAGTTTGACACCCCTTATCTAGGTCACACACAGCAGGAGGAGTAGATAAAGGGGTTAATGTACAGGTCACATACAGTGGGAGGACAGAGCTCAGGGGGGTATTGAACAGATATACAGGATAATGGAGGTAAAGGGTCGATACATAGGCCACTGTAGAGACATTCATTAGTTCCTTCTCCGACCCTTGTAGGAGGAAAGGTTGAGCTTTCCAATGTAAACAGTGCACTATTTACATTTGTGATTGCTGTGACTGGTCATCACAGTAAGCACAAGGTACAGGGCCAATCGGGTCAGCTCTGTACACTGTGTCAGAACCGAGCCATAGATTGTAAGCTCTAACGAGCCGGGCCCTCTGCTTCCTCTTGTACCAAATTGTATTGTAACTGTAATGTCTGCCTTCATTTTGTAAAGTGCTGCGCAAACTGTTGGTGCTACATAAATCCTGTATACTGTATTTTTCGCCGTATAAGACGCACTTTTTCTTCCCCAAAACTGGGGGGGAAATGTCAATGCGTCTTATAAGGCGAATATGGAGCGGCCGGTCCGGTATTTCCACCGCGGCCGTGTCAGAATACCGGGCCGGCCGCTCAGCTCTGCAGCGGGACCTTACCTGTTCCTCTATCCAGCGGCGTGCTGTCTTCCCGGCTTCTGTAGTGTGGGCACTGGGCATGACAGCCGGGTGCCAAGTGCGCATGCGCAAGAAGCGGTGCTTTTTGTGAATGGTAAGGCGGTACCTGGGACACATGACAGATCCCAGAAGCCGCCGGACCAATCACAAAGCGCAAGTGCTTCTCGCTCATGCGCACTGGGCACCCGGCTGTCATGCCGAGCGCCATTACAGAAGCCGGGAAGACAGCGTGCGGCTGGATCGAGGAACAGGTAAGCGCAAACAAAAACTCTGCGGAAGTAAGAACCTGTCAAATTCAGGTACCCGCTCCCCCCCCTCCCCAAAGGTCAGCAGTCATCTGTACTGTCCAAAGGTCTCTGGTCATCCCTGTGCTGTCCGCAGTCTCTGGTCATCCCTGTACTGTCCGCAGTCTCTGGTCATCCCTGTACTGTGTCCGCAGTCTCTGGTCATCCCTGTACTGTGTCCGCAGTCTCTGGTCATCCCTGTACTGTGTCCGCAGTCTCTGGTCATCCCTGTGCTGTCCGCAGTCTCTGGTCATCCCTGTGCTGTCCGCAGTCTCTGGTCATCCCTGTACTGTCCGCAGTCTCTGGTCATCTCTGTGCTGTCCGCAGTCTCTGGTCATCTCCTGTACTGTGTCTGCAGTCCATTAGTTCAGAATTTTTTTTTTCCTGTTTTCTGCCTCTAAAACCTAGGTGCGTCTTATGGTCAGGTGCGTCTTATACGGCGAAAAATACGGTAATAATAATAATAATAAAAAGGGTACAGCTGACATAACAGCCATTATTGGGCCTACTGGCACTGCTGAAATAGGCATCCGCTACTTTGCCACTCATAAATTTAAGACAGTATGGAAGTAGTTAATTTACCACTGAAATTGTATTTGTACTATCTGCACTTCAAAGAAGAAATAGCACATCGTGAACTTTTCTTAGAATACCGCTTCAGAGTACAGTGTTAGAAATATCCCTTTGGAAACAATTGCTCAATTCTCTATTGTTAAATCGTAACAGGAGAAATATTCACAATGTCCCCAGGAACGCACAATATTGGAACCCGATATCCACCGATGAGATAATACATTCCCACACATGGATCCGTGTAAGTAAAGGTCAATATCCAGGTAATATATAGATTCTCAGAAATTACACACGCTGGTATCCATAATGTGTGCTTCCTGGAATTATATTCCCTCCATAAAAGCAGTCAGTGTCCTTTTGGTGATCAAATCAGATAAGAGTGGATTTTTCCGAGATCCCAAAAGGACTTGGATTCCCACTGTCGAAACAATACCAATCCCACATATACAGATTTGTCAGCAATGTCATTTATCCTTATAATCTCTGGTTTCTCAGAAATTTCCAGTGCTGGTATAGGCAGTATTAAGTGTGTTCTCAAGAACTGACTTCCCCCCAGCCTGGACACCACCCCCCATTGACTTCTCCGTCACATCCAACGACGCCACCATCAAACCCGCCCCGCAGGCCAGAGTACTTGGTGCCATTCTGGACTCCAACCTATCCTTCCAGCCCCAAGTCCAATCTTTAACAAACTCGTGCAGACTCCACCTCCGCAACATCGCCAAAATCCGCACGTTCCTAACCCCAGAAACCACTAAACAGCTCATCCACTCCCTCATCCTATCACGACTCGACTACTGCAACTCCCTCCTCACTGGCCTGCCTCGCCGCTGGCTATAACCCCGCTTCAGTCCATCCTGAATACGGCTGCCAGACTCATTCACCTTTCCAACCGCTCCGTCTCCGCCACCCCCCTCTGCCAATCCCTCCACTGGCTTCCGATTGCCCAACGGATCAAATTCAAAATCCTAACATTGACGTACAAAGCTGTCCACCATACTGCCCCGAACTACATCACCGACCTAATATCCAAGTACCACCCAACAGGACGCACACTCCGCTCCTCACAAGACCTCCTTCTCTCTAGTTCCCTGGTCTCCTCCTCCCATGCCCGCCTCCAGGACTTCTCCAGGGTGTCACCCATCCTCTGGAACTCCCTGCCCCAACCTATCAGATTATCACCTACTCTCCTCTCCTTTAGGCGCACCCTGAAAACCCATCTCTTCAGGGAAGCCTACCCCACCCCCTGCTAACTTGCCGACCTCCTCCACTCTTCCTACCACTCCATCCCCCACAGCTATCTCCTCCTGTACCACCATCCCCTCCCTCCTAGATTGTAAGCTCGAAAGAGCAGGGCCCTTGATCCCCTCATGTTTTGCATTGTATTGGAATTGTTCTGTCACATGTTCTGTCCCCCTTTGTAATGTACAGCGCTGAGCGAACTATCGGTGCTTTATAAATACTGTATAAAAATAATAATAATCTGCAAGGATATCACTGTCCTAATGGCAAGTGAGTCGGATAAGGGTGGATCGTACCAAAATCTCAAACGTACTTGAGCTGGTAGAATGTTAGGTTAGAAGGATGGATATCCAAAGTTCATGTAAGACATCAACAAAGCTGTATAGGGAACATGAGGCTCCGAAGAAACCTCTCAGGGAAAATGCTTTAGTGTAAATGATAACCAGCTCAACAAACGCCACAAAAAGAGGCGGTTAAACCTAATTATTAGCTCTCTGTCTCATCTAGTATGGGGCAGCACAGTGGTTAAATGCTTAGCACTTCCTCCTGGCAGTACTCGGGTCGCTGGTTCGAATCCCAACCCCGGCACCACCTGCCTGGAGTTTGCATGTTTCTCCCTGTGACTGCGTGGGTTTGTGTATGTATGAGTGTGAGTTAGGGACCTTAGATTGTACACTCCTTGAGGGTTAGGGACTGATGTGAATGTACAATATATATGTGAAGTGCTGCGTAAATTGATGGCGCTATACAAGTACCTGAAATAAATAAATAAATCTAGTAAATATTGATGTGGGTTAAAAACAAAAAAAAAAAAATGTAGCAAAAAACAAAACAGGACAAACTGTATACAGTCGGTTAATCAAAAATATCCATGCAGAGTCACTTATGTAAAGAGTTATGTACAAAACTTTACTAATGCAGGCCATGCATGGGTCGAATTCTGAACGATTGATTTGGAAAATCAGCCGACCAAGTCATAAAGTTCACCCCATATAACAGGCAAAACTTCTGTTCCTTCCAGGTCACGGCTCATGCGCATATTCGTACGATGTGACCATCATCGAGTCGAAAATCGATAGTTTTTCACAAATTTTCCAACATGCCCGATCACCGAAAATGGGGGAGGAACCACAAAAATCGGCCGGTGCCATTGACCAACTAACAGAGCGAAAATCGTCCGATTATTCTTAGGTCCGAATTTTGGACAAAAATAATTGGGCAAATTTCAATCCATGTATGGCCGGCATTAAATAACTATACAAAGATAATTGTGAGAACATTACCTTGCAAGAAGGG